AGCCGTCATTGTTGTTTGGCGGGTCCGGGCTGGGGATTCGAACCCGCCACCTTAGGTGTATGTGGCTGGCGCCTTAGCCGGTTGAGCTATCAGCGCCCAGCCATGGATAATTAACCTTATCCAACAATGCAAATAACTTTTGGCAGTAAACTTTCTATTTACTATTTATATCAGCGTCTATCAAAGTATACTGTGTGTCTTAAATGCCATGGTCTGTAAAAAGGTACCCTATAGAAACTTGGTAAGATTAAACAGAGGTGCCATTACTTGATAACTTCTACCTTCCATATCAGAAGATGGGCAGGAAGAATAAAGGTATTATAAAATTAGGGCCACCAGAACTATAAGCTATTACAGTATTTTGGAGATTCAGAGAATTGGGTCTACATGTTTCTATCTGTCTGGGCTGAGAAAGACTTTTGCTGAGAAGACTTTTTTTTGGCGGGGAAGGCAATAGAGGGGCCACGTAGCGTTTAAGTCCAGGAGAGCAAATAGGAGGGAACAGTTAGAGCTGTCTTTAGGCTTTTGAACAAAGAAATGACAGGAACTTTGAGGTTTCTTATTTGACTGTCTCATCTAGTTCCATAGGATAGAAAATGAGGAAAGGATTCAAGGCAGATGCCCTGTCCAGAAATAAAGATATCCCATTTGTCTAGATTCTTGGGAACCTGAAGGTGCTTGAAAATGTGGAACAAGAAAGTCCCAAGTTCCAATAATATTTATTGAATATTAGAGGAGAAGAAAGTTCAGATTTCTTGATTGTTTCTTGGGTTCCCAGTGAGCTCCTTAAACCTAACAGAGATTGTTAAGTATTAACTGCACCTTTATTTTCAGGCAGGGTGTAAACTTAATAGCTGGAAGGCATACAGTTTGAAATAATATTTTGGAGGAGTTCCAAAGTTTACAGAACTGGGGTCTATGCTGATACTCAGCAGTCTGGAGCTAAACAGAGCTGACATTCCTATAAAAGTTTGCTGTGCAATGTGGCCTACGACAGGATAGAGAAAAGCCAAACTGTTTTCTTTAACCTGTGACGTGGTAATCTCCCTGTTTCCTTCAAGGGGATCTGGGAGCCATGGACTGGACTCTGGGAAACAGGCATGAGAAGGGTATTTGAGGGCATAGTGAATCCTAACATTTCACAAGTAGGAAGGGAGGTCACAGAATTCCTGATTGCCAACCCCCATCCCCAAACACTCCCATGCTCATTCCTATACCTGAGATGTGTGTTATGCTTTAGCATGAATCTGAGGGTAAGAGCTACTTTTACTCACTGCTGGTGAAAGTGACATTGATACTGTAAGACTGTCCTTTGTTTAGCTGGCAGGGCAGTGTGGGGCATGGGCTCACATTCACTTCCTTTATAACTCCAACCGTAGAACCTACAAAAAAAGAAAAATGAATTAGATTAGGATGAAAAATAACCCCCCAATCTGCCCACCACCTATGGAAAGATGCTCTGCTCTCCCAATTAGGGTGAGTTTGATCTCCTCTGACCCCTTTACTGGGATAGAATCTTTAAGACAAAGTCTACTCAAAAGTCAGAATCTTGATTCACCTTACTGCTGAAATCGTAGCCTGTAAATCAGATGAAAAAAGGAGCTGGCTGGTTTCTTGACCAAGAGAAAGTTAGTATTTGTCCAAAAAAATAATACCCAGAGATCATATCCACAAAAGATCATTTAAGAGATTACACAATAACCAAAGAAACTCCAAATGTTCCTAGATTCTTGTCTTGCATTCTTATTGACAAGGAGTCACAATTTAAATTTATTTTATTTTCTTTTTTTGAGACAGAGTCTCACTTTGTAGCCCTTGGTAGAGTGTCATAGCTCACAGCAACCTCAAACTCTTGGGCTTAAGTGATTCTCTTGCCTTAGCCTCCCAAGTAGCTGGGACTACGGGTCCCCCCGTAACACCCAGCTATTTTTTTGTTGCAGTTGTCATTGTTGTTTAGCAGGCCCAGGCCAGGCTCAAACCCACCAGCTTCAGTGTATGTGGCCAGCACCCTAACCACTGGGCACAGGTGATGAGCCCACAGTTTAAATTTAAACTTTGAAAATATTTGCTTCAACTTTGCTTCTTTTTTGAGACAGAGTCTTACTATGTCACCCTGGGTAGAGTGCCATGGCATCAAAGCTCATAGCAACCTCAAACTCTTGCCTCAGCTTCCCAAGTAGCTGGGACTACAGGTGCCACACGCCCGGCTATTTTTTGGTTGTAGTTGTCATTGTTGTTTGGTGGGCTGGGGCTGGATTCGAACCCACCAGCTCTGCTGCATGTGGCTGGCAGTCTAGCTGCTTGAGCTACAGGCGCCAAGCCCAACTTTGGTTTTGATTAAAATATTCCTGTATCTTCCTTCATGTTCTAGTACACAAATAAGTATGCAAATTTGGTAAGAGTTGTCCACTACTGGAAAAACTGCACTTATGTGCAAAAATATCTGGAAGGCAAACCTGGGGCCTGAAATTCCAAGAAGGAAGATTAGAATGAGTTTCATCATCTTTCCATCCAAAGCTCTACAAATGCAAATGTTGATGTAGGGAGTCTACAATTGTTGAACCAGGTTCTTGTTTCATGAAATCAAGGAATGAATTCATGGAGCAAGGGAAACAAAAATGTATTAAGAGCAAGTTCAAAGGCATGTAGAGAAATCTGTTTGTTGAAAGAGAGAGGTAGGCCAAGCATGGTGGCTCACACCTGTAATCCTAGCACTCTGGAAGGCGGAAGCAGGTGGACTGCTTGACCTCAGGAATTCAAGTCTAGCTTGACTTGACAGGGTCAAGTAGAGACAGGGTCACACCTGTCTCTACTAAAAACAGAAAAAACTAGCTGGGTGTGGTGGTGCAGATAGCTCCAGATACTCAAGAGGATGAGCAAGAGGATCGCTTGAGCCCAAGAGTTTGAGGTTGCTGTGAGTTATTACCCACAGCACTCAACCTAGAGTGACAGACTATCTAAAAGAAAAAAAAAAAAAAAAGAAAGGAATGAAGAAAGAAAGAAAAGGGGAGCTCAGCAAAGCCTCCAGCACAGCATGCACAGAAGGGCACCCAAGCAGATTGCCCAAGAAAACTAAATGTTAAGGGGATTACATATGTTGTCTACCCTTATCTATCTTCCTTGTGTGTAAGGAAGTGGAACTTATGTTCCTTTTGTTCTTTTCTGTCCTTATTTCTGTTCCTTCATGTCCTAACTTCTGGCACCAAGTGCCTAAATATTAAGTTAAAACTTAATCTACCATATGTCACAGGACTTCTACAAACACCTGGTCCAATTTCTGACTCTCTATGGATCTAAGCACCTGCCCTCCTGCCTCCTGCTACATGGGCTGCTCAGGGCAGCATGCTTCACCCTGGCTGCCTCAACTTCCCTGTTACTCTTTTGTCTCACTATTATTTGTTGGAAAGTCTGCAGATCTTGGAACAGACAGATGTTTGGAGTTCTTAGCTCCAGGAGGTTTTAGCTCCTGAGTTACTTGTTTTTAGACCCTATGGAAATTGCATCTGGGGGCAGCAAGGACTAGAGAAAGCCAAGGCATCTGAAGAAAATATCTCATAACAATGGGTTGTATCATCTTTGTTTTAGGGATTAGAAAACAGAAGAGCAGAAAGATTACTGTGATTCGTCCAAAGTCACATTCCCCGGAAGGAGAAGACTCAGTGGGTCAGCTTGAGTTGGAAGTCCTTTAAAGACGTAGGCTTAGTCACAAATAGAAGAAGGCTACAAGGCAATTCCTGACTGAAAACATTTGAGGACTTTGGATGAAGATCCAAGATCAAGCTCAACCAAGAAAGCTTTTGTAGGTCCCTTGATTCAGCATCACCTCCTTCCCCTCATTACCCTTCTCTATTGTAGGGGTTCAACTCCCATATCCCTTACAATTTTCAGTGATGAAGTATCTCCTGTCTGGATTTTACAACCTTTCTGCAAACTCCCAGTAAGTCCTTTGCCCAGTATTTTGACTTCTTGGGATCTCTCTTCATTATTTTACCCCAAACTGGATTCTCAGAGAATTAAACAGTACTCTTAAAGATAAGGGTAAAACAACGAAAAGCATCAGAATATCAAGTCTTGGCTTTTAATATTAGGTTGATTCCAGAAGCCCACTCACTTCTGAGTAAGTGGAGTATGGAATTTAAGAGGAACTACGAGTTTAATTGTTAACAGAGGAATGACTTAAACAAAGGACCTACCTACATCTCTAAATTAGGAATGACCCTTAAGAGAGGAACTACATTCCTCTTCTCAGCTGGGAACTAGGTCATCTCCACTGTACTTTGGAGTTTTCTTCAGTTATTTAGTCATGTTCTTTTGAGGGAAGAAATCTAAGAGGCCCACTTATGACTCATGAAATAACTTCAGCTCAAAAAATAACAGGCAGTACCTCAAATCTTACCTAAGTCATTTGGACCTTGATTTTTCCAAGAATCAAGGGGCTAAAAGGGAAAACAGGGGTCAAGATCTTTGTAGCTCAAATAAAAGCTCCAAATTAAACTTAACTCAAAAAAGGGCCAACATGGCAGAAGTATAGTTGTGTTAAAGAAGAATACTGCTACTTAAGTCTCGGTTTCCTTTTCTCTGAAATACTTAACTTGGCAACATAGCTACTAATATGCTTGCAAATACTGCATATGTTTAAAAAATAAAGGTGAGATTAAGAAAGTACTAGAAAGAGTCAGATATGGGACTATGCTGACTTACCCATGTTGTTTCTAAGCAGATTCAAAATTGACTTATGACCCACAAAGTAGGTGTAGTTAAGGAGTCCTCTAATAGAGAAAGTGCTGAGGAATAAGACTAATCTCTGAAGTAACACTCTATGCTAAAAATTGCCCACGTGTAGTAGTCAATAGGTGAAGAGGAACTGAGCAAATTATGAAATATCTAGAGCCAATTCCTCTGCTCTATATCCCGGTAGGGCTGATCAGGGAAAGGCAGTCCCCATGCCACCTCCCATTCCAACAAAGGATTTTAAAAGCAACACATAGGTGGCACAAGCATGACTTAAGTCATAGTGCTACAGTTCCCACTTGGAATCTCGAGACTGGCTGCTCTCAAACTGTCCCCACTTTGAGTGTCTCCAAACTCCCCCCCACCATCTTTCCATCCTGCTCTAGTGCAGTGATTTTCAACCGGTGTGCTGTGAGAGGGTCTTAGGTGTGCCATAAATATTTTTAAAGACTATTAATTAAATTATTTTCTTAAGAAGTTCAAAGCACAGTAAGTATATTCTTTTTT